TGGGGCAAGCAGCTGGGCTTTCTCAACCCTGGAGGTAATTGTACTGAATTTTCATGCACCAGTTGATTCAGTTTGAACATACATTGATTCAAGTCTTAGACTGGTTTATGCCATTTTTAGACCGGTCTGTGTGTATGCAACTTCTGTACAGTTAGGAGTGTAGATTGATTTCCAATTACTGAGACTGGGTTTAAGCAAGATTTGCACTTGGGCAAACTAAGTTAGATCGGGTGGCCATTTTTAACCCAATCTAACCTCCCTCTTCCTCCCACAAATGTCTGCACCTAGCCTATGTTCACAGCATCTACTGCTGTGATTAGGCAACTTACTGTATTGAGTGTAGCAGTAAAGAGGAATCTGGGCACAAAGTTGAGAGTATCCAAAGGAGGTCTGAAGAAACTAGCAGGTAGGAGTGAAGCAGTCAGAGAAGTCTTGGGGTAGTAAACTGGGGAAAGGCAGGCTCTGAAATGCAAAATGTTGGGAAAAATCTGGAATGCCTGAAGAGTCTGAGGAGAGAAGCACACTGGACAGGGTCCAAGCAGCCCAAAAATATAATCTCAGTTCTACCTGCAGACTGGGCCCCAGAATCCTATCAAGCTATTTACAAAACGGCTCTCTAGCTTAGGGTGGACCTGAAACCTGTCAAAGCAGAATGCATCTGTCTGCACAGCCTTTGAAACTAAGGTTCCCTCTGCTGCTCCTGCCATGGAAACTGATGCATCCAATCAGTAAAAGTAGGTCAGGTGATTTGAAATTGTTGTGCCTGCTGTTTCATAAAGAACTAAAAAAAAAAAAAAAAAAAAAAAAAAAAAAAAGCATACAACAGACTAAACATCAGGTCAGGATCAAAGCCATTAATTAAGCGTATGTTGTATATACGCTTAATATATTATAATTCATTATAGAGTGCATAGAGAGACAGGAGTAGAAAAGTGGTGGGGAGAGAATGATGGAGACTGCACTATTCTCTGGAGGTGACTTTTTAACTCATTTTTTAGAGTGACAGCTCTACAGGCTGTATAAAGCAGAAGCACAAATCAGACTAGGTCACCTTAGTGAGTGAAAGGAAAGCAAAAATATCTTGACAACTGGGACCAGGTGTACCAAGACAAAGGCCAAGAACTGGGTGAGCATGAACATGAAATGATGCTCTCACACCTAGCCTGGTGTGGTCCTTCGAGAACAGAACTGATACATTTGTGTGTGGGGAAACTTGAATTGGCACTGCCTGTGTCGTAATAGTTCTGTACATTAACAGGGGACACCAGTCTTGTAAACAGACCATTTGGGAATTTGCAGAAGTTTTAGAACAGAGAGAAAAATACATTTAGTCCCAGCCAGTCCCCACAGATTGACTTGTTTTTTTAGGTGGAAGGTGGGGTAGATTTGCACCTTATAGATTAACTAAATCAGAGATGCATGGCATAAGCATTTGTAAGCAGCAGCTTGCTTCATCACATATTATGAATGGACTACAGCAGAGCTTCTAAATATTAAGCAGTGATTAGAATACGAAGGGTAGGGA